TTCAAAACTTGTATAGGTAGGACTGTATTTGGAAGTCCTATTTGCCTTTGGCCTGGGGTAACGTGGTGGGAACTCACAAATAAACCGAAAGGCTTCGTTGGGGTTGACACAATGTCCGGAATCAACAATGTATGCGCGAAAAGCGCTGTTTACGCTCCTATATTACCTTTTACCAGAAAGGGAGGCGTTCGCTTATTCCGTTGGATAGGGGCCGACTCGCATGACCGATAAAACCTGCTCCACAGGAGCAGGTAAATGAGTAGATGCACATGGACATAGTCCGAGCTTAAAACCTCCTCCACTTCTATGTTCATTTACTTGCTCCAGTGGAGCAGGTTATATTGGTTGCACGAGTCGGTGCTTATTCAAAAGAATGTGAGAACACCTCAAAGACCACAAAAGTGATCAACAAAAGTGAAAATGTAAAATGAGGAGGGCGAGGAAAATTCGATACCCAACCAAGGGATAACCAAGGGATTCGACTTTCAATGAGAGCGTTCGATGAGTAAATTGTGGAGTATTTCACATGTACCATCAAAATAAAATAGAAATAGTACTAAGCAAAACCATATGACAAAAACCGCGATGGGCCCCTCCTGACATGCTTCAAACACTCTCAGCACAGGCCATCCGATTCGAATATACTCCCCCCCCCACCTCCACGGGCGACAGTTTTTCTCCTTTAATCCCTCAAATGGCATTCAAAACCCTTGACTTTCTGAACAATGCCTAAGGAGTTTTCTCACTGTCAGCCCTCCTTTACCTAGTTTCAATTACTGGCAACACCATTGTTTTGAAATGTTCTGCTGGACAAATGCATTGCATAAGTGTTCTGTATCAATAGGGAGTTGAAAGGTATTTACCTACATTTACCTCAATAAAACCTGACCTAAGCTGACCAGTGATGTGTATTTTTCCTTCTTTATCCAATTGACTGTGCAGTGTTTGACTCATAAAAGTTGCAAGCACTCCTTAGCAGTAAGTATAGAATACCAAGGTCAAGGCTTTCAGTTCTCTGCACACATTAACGCCTTCGAAGTTAATAAGATCTCGGATGTAATAAGAGTCTATAAGACAAGACTGAAAAGACTGAACAAGTAAGCTGGACTAAATGCCACGACACGGTGGGACATAATCTCACAATAGCTAGTATATGAAGGTGCGCATCGGAATAGACGGATGTTCGAGAAATGAAGGCAAATTACTGTACAATAATATTTTTTACCCTTTTTACATACATAATAAAGTTTTCCTACTATTAAAAGTCTTCAAAAAGTACCTTATTACCACGTTTCGAAAAGGGGGGGTTTTCGCAAGGTAGGGGGTACCCCTGTCCGGCTGAAAAATGGAATTCTACATTGTAGAGCAAATGTAGAGCTTGAATCGAACTCTACATTAGGGACACATTGAACTCGATTAGAACTAAACATTGGCGAATTGTAAAGCTCGAATCGAATT